ATAGCCCCGGATGTTGGCTTTTNCCTCCGCCACTAGAACGTAGTGAATAGGACTTCCTCACCAGAGGCTATTTGAGATGCTTTGTCATATGGGAGCATTTCGCTAGGTGCAAGGAAAGAGTGACCACCCGCAACCCAAGACGAACACACTAAGGATTTCTGGAAAATACTATCGTCTCGTCCTCTGTCAGTTGTATTTGCTGTCATTGGTTTCGTTACGCGACTGCTCAAGTAACGGATTGAGTTCCTCCACACCACCACCGCTAGGACATATTTCGACTTGTTCTTTATTCTTATGGCTGGCCCAATGACTGAAAAAAATTGGCACACGCGTGCGTGTAAACACAAAACAATGATTACTTCACACTGTCTTTTTAAACCAACGGATTTTATGTCTGGTGCACACGTGAGGAATGTCGAACAACTTAGTTCACCAAATCTTGTATTCTTCATGAGACCATGCGTATGTTTTACATGATAAAACTGTGTAATGTGTTTTAATCAACCAGTCCATGAAACACCGGGAGAACACGATGGTTTTTGTTAACAACCACCTGTGTTTAGGTTTTCTCCCTTTGTTTGAATGATACAGGTACACCGACCAGCAGTTGATGCAGTTCTCCTTTTCCAAACATGAATGTAAAGCGCGAAAACGCTGTCATCCGGAAAACCGTATTCACCAGGTCCTCGTAAATCCACTCGAATTTTGAACATCATCCACATTCTAATGTTTTATTTTTAGCCAACTGCGAAGACCGAATATCTGCGGTACTTTTGTACCTCGGGCGATAATTTACTAATTCAGGAAGGCGGTACAACAGATGAGCGTGATTTTGTGATACCTGGTTTACACTACCAAACTCCTCCTTTTTGCAAATAATAAACATTCTCAAAAACGGTACATCTTTTGATTAGTTATTAAAACAAGTTATTCTTTGTCTCCATATGTCGTTGCATTGTTACTCAAAACTGCATTAGAAGAACTCAGGGAGCGTCGTGCAAAAGGGGAAACTGATCTGTGTATACGGGATTTTCGTGTGCATCTGAAGCGCCCTCAGTTGCGTTCGCTGCCCTTGGTCGGGGGAGGACCCGGGAGACCGTTTAACCACGGACGGGGGGATTAGCTTGAGGCGTGAATGGCGAGGTAACTGCGCTGTGCTAGCCTCAACCAATACCCGAGGGATGCTGGGAAAAAGGGATGAGCTGGAGGACTGGGTTGTATCTCACAATCCCGATCTTTTTGCAATCACTGAGACCTGGCCGACACCGGATGTCCAGGACTCCGAAATATCACTCCACGGATACACAGTGTTTCGAACAGATCGATCATCGTCACATCGCGATGGTGGAATTGTTCTTTTCGTCCGCTCGCATCTTCCTGTTCGAGTGCTGGAGAATTACGCCCTTCCGGAAGGATTTGGAGAAGCCCGTTGGTGCAGAATCAAGCCTTGTGCCGTAAGGTATACCCCAGTTGGAGTGATTTACCGCACACCAGCTGTGTACGTCCCTGAGCTGCTGGGCAGCATACAGAGGTACGCCTGCGATGGACATTGTCTTGTCTTGGGTGATTTCAACGCGCCCCATGTTGATTGGGAAACTGACATCTGCTCTCAGTATGCAGATTTGTTCTCCAGAGAACTTCTTTTCGCTGTTCGGACCCTGTCGCTTGTTCAGCATGTTCATGTGCCCACGCGGATAGTTGGGGATCAAAGATCCATCCTTGACCTGGTATTTTCACCGAGACAATCAAATACGACCAGGATTGACCTCCTTCCACCAATTGCATCTAATGATCACTCCGTTCTGCGTATACACTGGGGGCGTGGCGTATCCAAAACAGGCAGACCAGAGGACGGACGGAATGTGTGGCGCTCATCCTTTCCGGATATGCGTCAGGCTGCATCGCTCACAAATTGGTATTCCCGGAACCCTGAGGATGTGGATGTTTCCTGAGAGTTGGTTCTTCATAGAATCCAGCAACTCGTACTGGAATTCTCTCCACCGAACACACACTATGGGCCCGCCGTGGTTTGACCGAGAACTGCGGGCGTGCCTCCGGCAGCGGAATAAAGCCTGGTCCAGGGCCCGTGCAACAGGTGCAGGATATGAGGAATATCGATGTATTCGGAATCGTTGTACTGCAATAAAAAAATGAAACAAAACCAGATTCGAGGAACGACTGGTAGCGGATTCAGTACAAGCACCAAAGCGATTGTATGCCTACCTCAGGCGAAGAATCAGAGCAACGTCTGATCTCCCGACTCTCGCCAAACATGGGGCACTAGCCGAAAAAGATGAGGACAAAGCGGTAATGCTGGCATCACATTATGCCTCAGTGTACACCCCAGCATCCAGTATACTTGCACATCTACTGGACACTGACACTGCGCTGAAGTGGTCCCTATTTACCATCGGAGAGGTGGCCCAGGAGCTGCGTCGACTAAAGGTTCACCAGTCACCTGGACCTGATGGTGTGCATTCGCTGATCCTTAAAAAGCTGGCAGATGAACTTGCAGCGCCACTGTACAACCTGTTCAATTTGTCATTCACCCAAGGGCGTTTACCGCGGCAGTGGAAGGAGTGGAATAGGAGTGACCCTGGGAACTACCGACCAGTCAGCCTTACTAGCGTTGTGGGTAAAGTAATGGAGTGACTGGTGGCTGCACGGCTTCGGCAGCATTTGGTGTGCCACGATCACCTGTGTCACCAACAACACGGTTTCCGGCCGGGTCGCTCATGCCTCTCAGATCTGCTACTTGCACGTGATTGCTGGACCGAGGACAAGGCCAAAGGATACGAAACGGACATCATCTTCGTGGAATTGAGCAAGGCCTTCGACAAGGTGCCGCACGACCTCCTGCAAAACCTGTCCAACCTAGGTGTAGGTT